CTGAAAAGTTTTGGCTTCGTGCTTCGCTCATTCCCCGCTGCTGATGATAAACTGCCTTAAAGTTACAACAATATGTGTTTTACACATCGATGTGTGTGTGTATGCGATTCATTCATTCCGATTTTCGACATGCATCCATTCGCCCATTTCTTTTTTTCTATTCTTCCATGTATTCTAAGTGACAATGAAAAATACTAAGCACGCATCCAAAGTTGTTAAGGGTGTCTAAAGCAATTTATCCTATTAAGACGTCACCGCAAGGGATATTAAACGAGAGGAAGACGACATCCACAATAAGTTACAATATCTCGACATTCTCATTGCCATGCAAAGCTCTGAATCTATGCAAACGAAATTATTAAAACATATGAAAAGCTGTCACATACAACAGATAACACACCGAATGGTTGCCTCTTCCATTTCTTATTACTGTGTGACAACGACCAAATTTAAAAAACTCTCTTAAAAAATGTATATGCGAATTATATTTCTTTGGCAATCTTTTTTTTTTATGTTTCACTGTGATTGTTTTTGGTAGGTGAATCCTATGGATGATACTTTGCATGGTGAGATGAAAGTTTTCCGACCAAAAATCACAGGCATTGTGTGGCGGTAGCAAACTGATTTGAGGTATCTGAGGAAGCTTGAAGGAATTTTGTTTTGAAATCATGGCATTTTGGTCTTTGGCCGACCCTTCATTTTGTCTCATAGGTAAATATAATCTATTTTAAGTATGGAAATGTTGTGTATCAGCAAAATACATGCATTCAAAAGTTCTTCCGTGTATTTAAACATCATTTAACCGGTGGACCGTTGTACAATCATGGCATTTCGGTGCTTGCAAAAAAAAAAAATCACAAACGCCCTCAGAAACAATTATTAGATTGTTGTAGTTTTCAGAAGCGTTAGATGCCTGCAGTCTTTCACATGCGGTTAATGTCGAATTCATAATCTATGGAATCTTTCTAAAACGAACCCTCCTCGCATCGAGTGCATGGTATGCTTCAAACGCAAACGGTTCAATTGTGGTGTGAGTACGGAAAAGCAACAAACAGACACAACAAAAGCAATATGCCTTTGCTATGCAGGCTTGCCTATAAATTCCACACAAGATAGCAGTGTGTCCCACACAAAATTTACATAAATTACAATCTTTGCGTTGTAGCACACAAACACATAAAACATAAGAGCGGAAAATATTAAATTTATATTAAAAGATAAACGAAACTGTTTGCATTGGGGTAAATGTTTGTGCGAAAATTTATCTATGAATAAATAATTTAGAGAATGGCAGGTTGATTCACTCTCACCCTCTCTCTCTCTCTCTCTCTTTCTCTCTCCCTCTAACCAGCAAAACTTCATCTTCGATGAGTAGAGAGAATGAAGGAGAAGAAAAAAATTTGATTTTGGCCTATGCTCTTTGCACTTTATGCTTGGCTGCTACAGTATGTAATGAAGATGTGGCTGACTTGAGGATGAGACTTTCAATGAATTGTGTTGCTGCTGGAGGAGGAGCAATGCATCGTCTCTCTCTCTGTTGCCACCGTTTGTTTGAACGTGCTTAAGTCGATTATTGTAAATTATTACAATATTCTGCGTTAAGTGTTTATTGTGATATTTTTTATCATTTCATGAATTTTGAATGTAATAATATGCATTTGAAGGGGCAACAATCTCAATGTACAAACACATTTACAACATCATGAACTCGCAACATAAACAAGAACTTTGTGTTTAACCATTTTTGCATTTGTCGACACACACAAAACTTTCACCATTGAGTTTGTTGTTTTTTCAAGCACCTTAAGTGTACTTACAAGTGTTTTCGCTGTGTTTTTTTCTTTTTTTCAAATAATCAGTTTGACGTTTTGTTGATTGCTACGTAATTTTTGAGTGGTCTTTCTTGATGAGCACAACAATTGCAACTGTTAGCAAACAGGTTTTGGGTAAAAGCGACTCAAGTGAGCTCATTTTCACAGTTGAATTATTAATTTTAATAAAAGTCCTTTGTTTTGTGTTTTTCCAACATTTAGTATGCATGTTTGTTTACATAGGAAATTTTCACTGAAAACATGACACATGAAAAAGAAACAAAAAACAACAATACAGAATCATTGGAGACTTTTGCCGCCTCGAGATGGCCCCAATAGACCATTTTCATTGTTTTGCACGTTTTCATTATTTCCAAATATAATTATGATTCATCGCAGGTGAATCATCACCTCGGCACTTACTCTTACCATCCGACACATATGTTTGACTTGATAATTACGAAAAATGTTCAAGCGACCTCTGGTATGTGACGAGAGACAAAATGTGAAACACGATACAAACATGTAGAAAGGTCTGGATGTCATCTTAATTGCTGTGTATTCTTATCCTTTATTGCCGGAAGAAATTTTCGGTTTTATCTCAATCACGTACAAAAATTTGCGACAACAGCATTAGTGCATCGGATGTTTAGTGCAAAGTGTTGCTGTGACATTTTGAAGCTCCTTTCTGTGTTTACCAAAGGAATCTTGGCAGTAGTATGTATATATGAGCGTTGGTGTCGGAAATCATAATCAAAAATCACATTCATCGCATTAAATGATACTGGAAAAAAACCTTACCGTTTAGTCTCGTCCAACTGCCATTCGATTCGACATTTTCACCCTCCGTTCACCTTTGCCAATGTGCGCAAACACTCGATGCAACGAGATTATTTACAAAATCATTATTATAAAACCTAATGAGCTGGTAGATAGCGGGGAAAAGGTGAAGAGAGTCCCGAATAAATTAACGAATATTGTGTTCAAATACCCCACAGGGATACTTAGTTACGTTTAAATGATTATAGGCTGTATGATTAAATTACTCTTAAACTTCGTCGAAGTTTCAGTTCATGCATCGTAATTTTCGTCAATGCATTTGCCGTCGATGCCACCACCGCTGACAGAATATGGTTACGTTTTATCGAATTCAAACCGAAAGTGAAGGCTCCAGTCGAAAAAGTATTTTATGTAAATCACGGCTATCCCAGACTATTTATCTTGAGTTTACCTGTGTTTATACACGAGATTAACACGCACATTTTTTATGACGCGATTCCTTCCGTCTGTACTGAAAGAGAAAAAAAAAGCGAAGAGAGGCGGGCGGCACTTGAAAATACGATAAATTTGAAAATAGGGAAACAAGTTCACTTAAAAGTTTCAAGTTAAATTAAACAACGATGATACCGAATATTTTGAGAATGATATTTCGGATGGCGGAGCAAGAGACACAGATGCCATGAGTGAGAGAGAAAAAAAAACGCAACAACGAAACAACTCGACAATGCCAACGAAAACTTATGATCCTGAAGAAAAAGGCATTAAAAGAGCAAAAACCAAGTTTTTCTATTTCGTTAAATGCTTCGAGTAAATTTTATGAGCGAATCAAGGAAAACTTTTTTTCTTCTTTCTCAGTCGAATGCGATGCGATGCGTCATCGTGATTTGCTGTTTGTGATTGTGCACATCTTTTTGCCGAGGGAAATGAGCCCGACGCAGAGAATGACATACACTCACAGACGAAAGTTAATTTTTAAATCAAATTATTGTGTTTTATGGACTTGTGTGCTCGCTGCTCGTATTTCATCAAATCGGTACGCGAAATTGAGCGCATTTTAAAGTGTTTAATTGGCGTTAACAATTTATGGGTTCAACATTTCGAGATGTGCCGTGTGTCATTTCATTTCGTTCCACATTTTGATCATATTCGGATTGTGTTTGGTTTGAATGTTCGTTTGGGTGTGTGTGTGTGTGTGTGCGGGAGGATGAAAACATGTCAACGGGAACTGATGACACTTTTTGCCAGTCGTGGCTGCATTTAATATCGAAGTCGGTGATTTTGTGTCCCTTGAACTGTTAACCACTAAACTTTGCCGTTCATTAAAGTTGGATAATAACTCTCACTCAGTCTCTTTTTCCCTCGCCCTCGCATATGGAAAAACACAAGACAAAACCCACACAAACTTGATTGCCGCCGAATGGCACATTAATTTTTATCATTCTCTCAATCGTAACCGCCATTACGCGAAATTTCAAAGAATGTTTTTATTCTCAGAAATGAATAGTACTTAAAACGCGGCAAATAAAAACTATTACTTGAGTGTAACAGGAAAAAGTGTTGTAATTACGCAAAGCGGAAAAACGTAAAAACGCAGTCTTTTATCAGAAAGGTTTCGTGTTAGCAAAACATTTTCTATTTGATCTTATATGATGGTTGGCAAACGTTGAGCTGCGGTGTGTGCCGGTGATTCGGTGTATGCGTGTGTGTGTATGTGTGTGAGCGCGCGCGGCAGGGCACGATGTGATATTGACGATGAAAACCGTATGTAAGAAAAAGTGGCACACGAAACATATCCAACACGCATATTAGCCGAAAGTTACACGCAACTTTGCTGCAATAATTTATTGGCGAACCGTGCTAATAGTTTTCCTGCTCTTTGTTAAAACGCTACATGACTGCCACCACCACCATCGCTGCTGCCACTGCCGCTCTCTTTTCTTGCCATTACGTCGGTTGTTATCAATTTTTTTGCTGTGCTTCGAAGGTAGTTTGGGACAATGTTCTAACATGAAATCGTAATTGAATTTAATAGTGAATACATGTTTTTATTTCATCTCCGGCCGTTTTCTTGTTCACTTTTCACATTTATGCTAACCGTTTTATTACGTGCATTCGCAGAATGTGTGCGAATGGATTTGAATTAACTTTTGTTTGCTACTTACCCAATAACTGCTATTATGAATACAAAATCGATGCAATGCTTTCAACGGAAAACCAATGTTTGCATTAATATTTGTTTTGTTGATAGTATCAAGTTGATACGTAATCGGTCGTAAGCGATTAAATGACATGGTTTCCAGTTTCCGACACTTGGTGCATTGCAAACCAATCCATGCCGTTCGCCTCAAACCATAATAATTTCAAATGCAACGGCTACAAACATGCTATACAAAGAATGAAATTACATGGTTTTTCCTTAAAAAAATTTATTTATTTTTCATAGTTTTTACTTTATGTTACAATAGGATTATCCATGTTACGTTGTTGATTCCATTTTCGTTTTCTCTTCATCTTGTAAATGTCTGAATAAATGATACAAATGCTACAATGATACTCAACTGCACCGTTCCCTACGCTTGCTTACATTCAAAACTAAAATATACGACTAGTCATGGTTGCATGTTGTCTTGTGAGACGCCGGTCCAACCAACTGTTTTTCTCATGAGATTGTCCATACTCATTAATCCTATTTTCTGAAATTCCGAAAACAATTTCCGAGCCAATTGTTGTGGGTGATAAGCGATACTAATAACTTGTCGTTGGATTTGTCGCTGTGTCTATGTGCTCTTCCTCTATCTTACGAACGGAGTGTTTGCCGTTGAAAATAATCTTATTCTTTTGTGTATGTAATGGTAAAGAAATTTTGTTTCTCATGAAAATTGTCTAAATAAATGTCGAGACGAGTACATTGCACTCGATAAATAACTGTCCAAATACAAATCGGAGGTATTTTAATGTTATAAACATTTGCTGACATCAAAATGTGAATCTTATTCACCACCAAAAAATATTCTACATCCGGTGAATCTCGATGCTTTCGACACACACAGAGAAAATTCACCAGAATTTTACTACATCTTCATCGCTAAAGACATCGCATATTCCATTTACTTTGTATTGTTATTAATTGTCGTTTAACTTATTTCTCTACAAATATCTTAATTACTTCTCTCTTCGTTCGATATATTTTCACTATAAATTACAATGCGTTCCATTTTACTGTATAAAATACTCTTGTGTTTACTTTTATCTTGGCTATTGATATTTTATGTTCGATAAGGATGTATTTGTATATAATATATTTACCATTTTCAATGACAGACAGAAGTTTTCTCATCAATGCTTGGCACTAAAACGACGGTCATTTATGTTTCTATTTCACTTTGTTTGCTTAACACATGTTCGCTGGACGACATTTATGCAATATTCACATTGAATTGCAACATTTCATGCAAAAGCCGCTTGAACGGGAGCGCTTACTTATCATTCAAGCTTCTCTAAAAACATCTTGAAATATACTTGTAATCCGATTCTCTTTATGTTTTACATTTGCTAGTAACAAAGGTATGCTGGGCAGATTTTGAAAAGAAAAATTGGAAAAGGTTTGAATAGTGGAAGATGTTGCGGTTTATGGAAATGCCAAAATAGCTTTTTTCTTCAGTAATGTCGGCAGATGTGGAAAATTCATGCTTCAATAAAATATATTATCTAGATATTTTGCTCTGTGAGGGTCGTTTACCAGACGGAATAGCAGGATTGTTCTGTGATGATTGGAAGAAATGCCATGGATATTTTGAAGACATAGTTATGTGTACCGAAAACAAATTTTAAGTGATGATAGTAGTTGACATTTTTTTTTAAACGGAACAAAAGAAAATAACCTTAGTGCTAGAGCTCTTTTTGTTCGATTTTCTAAATTCCAAACTAGTTCAATTAACTAGTCATGAAAATGACATAAAACTCGACCTATATTGCCAGCATTGGCCAAAAAGCTGTAAAATTTCGATATTTCATAATGTGTGCCTCTAGAGAGACCAAATTCTTTTTAGATTTTCGAAAAAATGTCTCTTAAAACGTTGACTTTACGGATAAAATTATAAAAAAGAGTTTCCAGTATGTGTTCATTTTCTCTCCAAAATTGGTTCGTTGATATTGATGGATTCGGAAATGAACGGCCACTGCAATAATTCAATGACTGCCGTTCATTTCAAATCGATCACTCAATATATTGCAAAAAAAGTTGCGGAAAAATTCATGTCAGTCTTAATATACTACTCAATACAATTAGCAAGTAAATCATATTATTCCATTTCGTTCATATAACTTTTTATCCGAATTCAAGTGTAATTCCCTTTTTCGCTCAGGTGCTTCATTGAGATTGCAATTTTTGCCAAATGTAATTCTAAACGGATGTTTTAAATTTCAATAATAAAATGTGATAACAATGCAAATTTTGAAAAATGTTCATTTTTTTCACGCCGTAAAGCAGTATGTTAAATTGCTATTTAATAAGCCAATGCAAACAGAAATCAACGGTTTGATTTTATTAACAAAGAAGACATTCAACGAATTATAAACGCATAACACACGAACCGTCGTAAGTTCGTTAATATTAAAATGTTATTCATCGGTACGTTTGAGATAAAACTTAAAAGCAAACATTTTGAATGAAACGAATTAGACTAGAAGTCACTAATCTCACCTTCAGTGTCGGGTTGTGTGCATGTGAATGGATTTTTCAACCAATTGCACAGAGACTTTTCTTGACGATTTCGTTTCTTGATCATTATTTTTTGAGCATGAGATGCACCTGATCCAAAACTGGAGTCATCGCCATCACGGGCGGTTGCAACACTATGATAACCGCTTTCAGCTCTTCGCGAAATGCCCGAATGCTTTGACGTTCGTGGAGTTGATGAGTCGTGGCCACTATCGTACGCTTCAGGCGTTGATAAGCTCAATGGAGGCAGTTGTGGGACTTGCGTCTGCGACACTATTGGCGCAACTGAATGCGTACTTATTACTTTGTGATCGATTAACTCAACTATGGTCGGTTCATTTAGAATTTCGGCTATTTTACTATCGACTGTGGAAGCAATTTGTTCAGATTTTTGTTTTATATTCGGATCAGAGGCGCCATCAGGGTGTCGCAACGATGCATATTGATCCAAACCACCGATTTGCATTAAACCATTCAAACTTGGCAACGAACTTTGGCTTGGTGTTCTGGAGAGTGTCATCGATTGACGACAATCTCTGCATCTTGGACTCGGCGCTCGGTATAGAGGCTCACTACAAACACTTCCATTGCCTGACATTAGTCTAAACGCTGGCTCACTATACACACTTCCAGCATAGTTGATTTTGTAGTTTGGCGTTACTTCAGCCATTGCCAGTTGAGATGTGTACAAATCGCGCAATTGTGCCAGTTGATCAAATTGGTTCCTTTTTGAATTGACAAAAAAAAAAACAGTGAAAAATGTGAAAAAAAGATTGAAATTGAAAAAATGGTAAAGAAAACATGCAGTTACTCAACATTTCTAAAAAGAAGAATATTTGGTTCTTAACTCCATGTCAAAAGTAAAAAATTGAAAAGTCATTTTCATAATAAAAAGGTAAATTCGCGATTTTAAGTATTAGACTTGCTTCAAAATTACCTCGTATGTTCACCAATCAAGCAATCACTGAATGCATCTCCCATACCACCTGCACGAAAACTAGATACAACTGACATATTGGCATGACTCAAGGCGCTCAACGGATGGTCACTGAAGCATGAACAAAAGAACGAGAAAAAAACGATTTTTTTAAAAGAAATAAACAAGCTTTTGTTAAACTTAATTACTTTGAAGCAAGTAATTGTAAGTGATAAACATTGTGTGCTTCGAACTAAAAATAAAAAATCGTAAATATATTCACGAAATTACGAAAACTATAAAATCAATTGTAACACATACCGTCCCATTTCTCTGGCAATTTCTTCTTCAGTAACTTGCAACCCACAGTCAATCGTTTGAATGTTCAGACCCAAATTTTCGCGTGAAACGTGTCGCGAACACATCAAATGTATGCTATCGTGTGAAATTTCACGTGAACTCAATGGTTCAATCAATGGAAGCGCTGGAGGAACTTCAGATGGGCCACTGTCTTGGTCTTCATCCTCCTGTGAATCGTTTTGTCGATGTGATGATGTAGCGGATTGCATGGATCGAACATCAAAGTGTTCACCGTCGACTTCTTGAGTTGATTTTGCGTCGCTCATTCGAATCGAAATATCCATTATGTGATTAGCTTCTTTGCTACCGCATAGACTTTCCGTAATTTCATTTAGTGTTGTTTCTATACATATTTCCTCATCGTCCGATGTGTTCTTTGCCAGAGGCATTGGCAATACTCTCGATTGTGCGTTTATAGTTGGACTAGAAGTGCTGGCGTTAAACACTTGATTCGTTTGATTCTCAACCCATTGTCGAATCATGATTTTCTTATGGTTATCCATGTAGCCGTATGTTTGTGTGCATGATGCCGGTGAACCACCCACAGCTATCGATTTGCTGGGTGACATTTTTGGCCCCATATTCGGTCCATCAATCCATGTTTCGCACTTTTTAACGTGGTTTATTTCGCGCATCAAGTGTCGTGCCTCGGCCACTTTGAACTTTGATAATCGTGGTCCATCTATCCATTGCTCTTCGACCACTTGCCGTTTTGGGCTTCCGTGATTGCTGTTGCTCGGTCGACGCAACGGCGAACCCTTTGGTGATGATATGTTGTGTATGGGTGTGTGTCTTACCTGCGGTGGTGGTACGATTTTTGGCGAATTTGGTAACGAAACGGACGTTTGCGATGGTATCGATGCGTTGTATTGATAGGATAGCATTTGATCGGTTGTCTTCTCACATGATATTGGACTTGAATTTGTTGCTAATCTACGCTTAAGGCTATCAGTTCGTTGGTTCGGTACCGGACTTTGGGCTGAAATGAGACGATTGAAACAATAAACACAATTGCTCCTTTTGGTTCGTTGCGACGAACGAGAAAGAGAAAAAAAAACGATTTAACGAAATGAAGCCAATTAAATGAATTGATTGTTTTACGTTTTGAGGTTTTTTTCTGTGGCAGCTTGCTTGGTTTCTCAGCACTGGATCCCTTTAGCGCTTTGTTCATTGAACATCGGTTATCGCCCGAGTTCATTGAAGGAATATAGACGGGTGGATGTTCGCCATCGGTGGCGTCGTCACCTGGCCCTAAATAAATTACCGTGTCGGCTGAAAGGTCGGAGCTCGAAGGATCTGGACCATCCGAACTTGAAAAGTTTCCTATTTCAGAGCAATTGAAATTGTTCCAATTCAAACCCACATATATTTTGTTCCGTTTGTTTGTTTCACTTGACTATTTACCTGTAATATCAAAGCCTAATGCTTTTTGCGTTGACAAAGGCAGTCGATGCTTTCTTCGTCGCATTCTGTGTATTCTTGATGCAACCTGTACCGTCGTAAGCACATCGGCGTGAGTCTGCGTTGTGGGGAAAATAAACAATCGGATTTCAAATCGTTTGTCGCTTTCCGACTTTAAAGTCGAGTCTTACCTGTGTACATATGATATGCGCTAAAATCGTAACGTGGCAAGTAATTGGAGCTAAACAGTCTTTGAGGAGTGGAGTCAACGGATGATTTTGGTTTGGCGTATGCTTTTGTCCACCAAGAATGGCAAAAAGTGTGTTGCCAATACCAGATAATGGAAATCCGCCGGAGCGATTTGCACAACCTCCCAAATTAATTAAATGTAAACGACTTCGACCGCCAGCAACGCCACTTTTGCCCGCTAAACTATGCTGATACACGTGCAACGTAAAAATGATTGCGGGCTCCGAGTTGCCCGGAAGTCGTGCCGATAGCGCTGAATCTAGAAATAACGCAGCCCTTTCGGCTGATGATGCTCTCACCTCGGTTGGACTGCCCAAAAAATCATCGCGCAAATAATTACCCGGAGAAAAATCGGAGTCTATTCAAGAGAAGAGAAAAGAGAAAAATCAGAAAGAAAAACGGAAGAGTTCACTTAACGCCGTAGAAAATAGTTCAATTTTCACATTTGCCTAGAGCTTCACTAACACACAATTTGCTGGATAAATAAGTGCCAGACATTTATTTTGTCGCATTTTCGCTCATTTCTCCTCATTCACACCGAATCAATCGATTTGCATAAGTTCCCAATGAAAATGTTATTCTCACATTGACATATGCACAGACACATTTTCTTTAGCTCTGCCATTTTTTCGATGTGTTAATACGGATGGGGATTTTTTCTTCTTCATCTTCTAAGAGCAAGCGGAAAAAAACGTGTTTGTGACGACATCAATTTGCAATAGCAGCATCAAGCGACAAATATTCCGTACAGGAATGGGAGCGGATCAATAAAGCTGTATCAGACAAAGCAAATATTTACAGTTCCATTTTCAGCTATTTTCCACTTATCTATCCTCAATAAAAAAAATGGAAACGTCAATATTTCTTTGCCGTTCGATCCGTAATGGTAAAAGCTGCTTTTTTGCCTTTTTCCACAGCGAATGAATATATTCGCCGCCATACATGAGAAATCATCATGTTCGAAAATCGTTGGAAATTCACTGAGTAAGCGGCGGAGCCAGTAAAAATACCTATGAAAGTGCAAATGTATAAATACGGTGTACACATACATAAAACGCAAATAAAAATACATGCACACACAAAAGCGGCGACATAGAAAGAAGTAGCAGCGCACATAAACGACAGTAGCATTAATTTTGTCACACTTGCAATCACCTCCTCATCCCATCGCCTGCGATTTGTTTGCACACAAAATATACACGGAGCTCTCTCGCTCAAACACACATACAGAACCATACCTCTCAAGCCACTTTATTTGGGAGTCGAGAGAGAGAAAAAAAATGCAAGTTAAATAAAATCAAAGCCTGCAAGATTTATGTTACGCATTTACGTTTGGATTTACGATTTTCCTTCTTCTTTTTCCGCTTTTTATTGTGAGTGTTTGCTGCCGGTTTGTGTGTGCGCATTTTTTTTTTTATTCGTGTCATCGAATCAGAAGGGTCAGGAAATTGATCCCCCTTTTTTCCGATTTTCTAAATGTATTATAAACATAAAAACGACGAGTAAAGAATAGCACAAGGAATAAAAAAAAATGTTTTTATGCGTTGTGGAAATGAGTGGCTGAAACCACCTCATATCAAATGATGATTTCATAATATGTTCTCTGCACAGTGAACATACTCGCACAGCAACTGAATTGAGTCTTGAGTTTCGAAGAATGTGAAAGATGGTTTCACTAAATTTCCCATTATTATAGAGGAAGGGAACACGACGACGACGACGAAAAAAGTAAATCACCAACTGCTTCGTAGCACAAGTGTATACACGCATCGGACGGCTGTGTCGCAAATCACTAAATTATATCAACAACTGAAACAAATCAATTTTACCGTTTAAAATTTATGGTTTCTCTCGTTCTCAGTAATCAATTTTCCTGACTAGTTCAAGTGACACATTCTTTTGGTTATCGCTCTCTTGCTCGCTCTCTGTTCTCTACTCGCTATGCCTGATTCATTCCGTGCCATGCTATAGGCAGCAATCAATTTCCTAATAATAATTGTCATATAAAGAGAGGGAATCGTACGGGAAAGACAGTGACTAGTGACGATGATATTTCGTCGACGCAGTGCTGAATCGTCGTCCGCATATAAATATAAACATTGAGCTATGAGCCGCCACACTATTCGCCACTTTGAATTTCGGTGAATCAAATGCATTCCATTCGTCGCCACTCCCTTCACATTACGGTAATTGTGAAAATTAATTAAAACCAAGCCGTTATAAATATCGAGTGAGGGGTTCCGCTCTGTCATTTCGGATTTGTTGTCGTTGTTTTGCTACCGTTTTTCAGCTACTGACACTTCACCATTCAACGCTTTCCGTATTTGTCAATTGAAATTCGGGCGCGTCGTTGTAGTACAGCCACAGAAAATGAACAGACGAGGAAAAAAAAATGAGAAACGAACAGCAAACAACACTAGACCAAATACTGGAACGCACAAAAGGCAAATTGCATCCACAATTCGAAATTGAATGCCGCTATCTTTTTGGTCGGTTACGTATCCCATGTCTAGACTATCATTATCATTAGCAAACAATTTAGAATAAATCTTATTACTCTCCCATGGAATGCGGAAGATGGAATGGCCAAATCTCATCGAGAGAAATTTAACCAATTGTTCATTTGCCGAACGCACACTCGCCCGTACACGCGTTAGCTCATACCACATCTTGGTCTGTGTGCCACTTCGTCTTCGTGTGCTCGATGAAACGAACAATGTGAAGTAATTTGCACTCCTCTTATCAATTGAAAATTCTTAAGCAAAAAAAAAATGTCTTTGCTTCATTCCGCATTCATTACGAAGTGTTTGAGCACATTTAAATTCTATTGTTTGAGTTTTTCAATTACAATACCAAGTGATCCGATGAGATGTCTCTTGCTCTGTATTACGCAAGTGAGAACATTTTTTACATTCGGCACAAATAAAATTTGTTCCGACACTCTTTCTAATTTGCTTTTGTTCGTCATTTTAATGGCCACGCCGTATTGAGTGGGCCGAATGGTGTTAGCAAAAGGATGTGAACTAATTACATTGAAAGCAGTTAAATTTTTTAAAATACACCATAAACTTATGTATCATCAATGGTAATGTTCAAAATGGCCAGATTTAGAATCCATTCGGCAAATTAAAGGGGGGGCGAATCGGAACGTCAAATGAATAACAAGAAGCGATTCCTTCAAAACCATAGCTGTGCATGGGTGCTAAGAAATGTAAAAGAAAGAAAATGTTTTCAACTCCAAGGGAAAACCCATTCTTTAATTTCAGCAAAAAGTGTTCCATTTCGTCGATTGTTCTATGTGAAATATTGGTCGGAAGAAGAAAATGAAAATTATGAATCGAAAGTAAAATCGAAGCGAAAGGAGAAGGAAAAAAAATTGGGTCGACCAAAGCCATTAGTTGGTATTTATTGTATCTGTGTCATGCCTTGCCTTGTCTTGCCTTGTTATTAAAGGATGTTTTGTTTTGAACAATGCATTCATCATAATGGTTTATGATGGAAAAAAAATGCCGCACGGCATATTCCCATCATATGCTCATCCATGACTATTTATGCGAAATACTCTTGTACTCTCAAGTGCCTTTCATTTAAACGGTTGAAAAGCGGTCGTATTGAATGTTCCATGTGGAGTATTGTACTTTTTCAACTATGCGGAATGAAAGCATATATTGTCATCGCACCAAAAAACCATGGCACACAACAGCCGAGAGATAGAAAAAAAACTATAGAGAGTCTTTTGTAAAGTGGTTGAAAAAAGATGGAAAAATGTGAGTAACGCGAACGGAAAATCATAACCATATGAGAAATAGAAGTTTTTATGCTGTCATTATGAATATAAAGTGCTTATAATTATTTACCTGTTGCGTATTCTATGAGGAGATCTTTGGATGATGAGCCTGGCTTCGTTGCGCTGACACCCAGCGCACTCACTCGAACCGAAAAGCGAGCACCGGTTTTTTGTTTTCGTTCATTGATTCCTTTGAATAGCCATGATATTGCACATGGTATGGCGCCCAGTTCCTTTGCCGACACTGTCGAACCAAACATTGTTTTTGATTGACCTAAAAATAATCGCAAGAGAAGAAAAAAACCAATGGCAATGAGCTCTATCTCTGTCCTCCATCGAATATCACCATTTTCACTGTCTCTTGCAAAGACAGACATCCTTACAAGCGTAAATACGTCAATCGGATGAAAGCGAAAATGATTTTTCGTCCATCAACCGGAAAAATAATAATAAATGACGTTCCGTTGCATGCATTGATTAATGATAGCAAAGATATTAATTTTCCACATACCTGACTCGGCATAGCCAAGCGTGAGCAGGCAACCATCATTTCCTTCGAGCACAGCGGGTATGACCTCGGATAGAGCCGATGATGTGACATCCATTTGAGCATCCTCGTCAGTAAACAAATTATCAAATGCGAATATTTTCGGTGCGGCAACTTTTGGTGCGCGCTCTTGTGATGCTGCCGAACTGGGTGCCGATGGTGTTGGATCAGTTAATGTAATTTGTCGCTTCTTCTTATCGATCGACAAGTAATGTGGCTGTGAACCTTCTGTCAGTGCCGAGTCCGAGATGCGCAGCATAACTTTAACCTATTTAACACGAGTAACAACAACAAAAAATGCGCAATATATCAATTAATTTGCTCTTTTCGATGAATTTCCATCGAACCATTTTTCCGACCAAGTGTCAAAATTTGCTAATAATATTGATGCGGGAACCATCTATATCGACAATTATGCATGCTAGCAGGCAATCACAGTAAATGAATGAATTAGCTGCAAATTATTCATCAAATGTAATTAATGTGGAGCGTGTGTGTGTGTGTGTGTGTGTGTCCCTTGCGAGGGACCAGTCTGCACTGCAGAATAACATGTACTAAATTGGATTGTTCAATGAGGAAAAAACGATATTTTCTTTAAAAATTAAACGAAAATCAATTGATTCACGAAAGGAGTGAGGTAATTTAATGAGACACGAAAATACTAATGAGTCTATGTGAAAATGTGAAAATCGTCTCGAAGGAACCGACATGCAGTATACTGCGTATATATACGTGAAATTAATAAATCGAAAATTCTTCGAGCAAAATTTATTGATGAAATTAAGGCAGAACAATAGCAATCGATTTGTGATCAATGTCCGTTTATTTAATTTCAACAAAAAGCTCTATTGTTTTGTTAAAACGAAACTTTATTTCGGTTTATCTTCTTTCGATTTCTTTGGCCACTCAAAGTAATCAAATAATAAGCAGAAAGTTTTTTTTCAACTTGGTACCATCACACATGTATCTCTTTCGTTCGAAATGCTGCATTCGATTCATTGAACTGTAAACAAAGTGGACAGCAGACAAACTAGGAAGTGAAATCCCTGAGAAAGAAAGAGAGAAATACAAACGCTCGGTTGCTTGTGTTCAATGGATGGAGAAATAAACCGCATAAATACACCGAGTAGTTGTATCGTTACATCGACAAAATAAATGTCAATATTTGTTAGTTGTCCGGTTATTTCGCATTAACAAATGTCTGCTATTGTTGTTTATTATTGGGAAATTTGTAGTCAATTTTTTTCCTTGCTGTTTTGCCACATTGTCAATGGTATAAATGTACTGCACAAAAGAGAACATGACTTGCTTTCCATGATACACTGTGTCAGTTTGAGTTTGTGTTTCTGTTTTGTGATTTTGAACATTGTACATTCAACTTTTTGCTGGAGCTGCAATGCTTTGCGTTGTACATTGGTCGGTCGGTCGAACGGTAGCTTGGCTGATAGATGCATGGCAGAAGCCGAAACGAGAATTATTGTGACAGAGAATTGCTCTTTTCCATTCGACGCCTCAAGTGAACATGAAACCAACCAGTCAACCAGCGACCGAATCGATTCACAACCGACTCCGGTGTGATGTAATATCGGCCAATTTTCCATGGGCTCAAATTGGCGCAACGATAATTTAATTTGATAGTTTGTATAAATTTCGTGTTAATTTTTTTTATACATTGTTAACGCATACATAAAATGTTACATTGATGAAATCACCCGGCCTATTCATGTATAGGCTTATAAACACATAATGATTGTACAAAATACACACCATTTTCATAATATAAACGCTGGCCACGCACGGAACAGCAGTACGAGAATACAACAAACACAATCAACCACTCACCTTTCCCAGTCCATAGTTCTCTTTGTTTGCCAGTCGTCTCGCCAAAACAGCTGGCATTGAAGGCTGAATCCGCTGGAGTGCTCCACAAAATCCGCCACGCTCCGCAGTCGGTATGTCTGGAACTCGCGATCTAACTGGCGCATTATTGTTGGCCATTCGCTGAGCGGCTCTTGAAAAATGAAAAGAGTCATAAAATAACATACAATTAGTTAGTTTGCTTTCAAATATAATCGGTAAAATGGGGGCTGGTGCGTTCTGGTCTCTCACTCTCACCCTGTATGTATGGCGCTTCATGGAAAAAAAATACTCAAAATAAAATCGATTTTTGACTTCAATACGTTTTGAAACGAACCGTTGAATAGAACGCACGGCAAAATATCCATTGTTTCAAAGTTTCATTTTAATGCCGAAGAGGGAAGAGCAAGCCAAAGCCGGAGAGTGAGCGCTACACAACAAATGTGTTTGTATTTACAACCGTTTCCCCATGGAATTCAAAGAATACTTTTGAGCATTTTTTGTTTCATGTCAGCCTATATGACATTGATGGAATGCCGCACAAGCAACGGAATGCAAATTTTTGTGAAATGCTTTGTACTTGCTTGTTGGGAAAAAAAGTTCTTTTTCAGCCGAGCAAAACACAGAAAAAAAAAGTTTATTTGCGCGACGTGAAATATTCGACTATTTTTTTTTCGTTGTTCTTTCGAAACAAACAACTCTCTTGTTTATTCATTTGTATCCTTTTCATGCTAATGATAGTCGACAGTCGGAAAACCAACGGAAGAATATAAATAGGAACAACAGTTGAAACAGAATGCACAAACTATTCAGACATAATTGAACATGATGATAATTGATAATAATTTAACGGAAACAAATTCGTGGAAATATTTTAACCGATGGATACGCTTTTTTAACCGCCAACCGAACCGAATCGAGTAGAACAGCTCACTACAAATTGTATTCGGCCGCTACGCTCTTAGATACCACCATCATTCACTTTATTTCCGAATCGGATATTTCAATAAAGAAAATGGAAAATACATGAGCCAAATCAACATGTTACGTATTTATACACACACATACACAAACGTACAATGTGGATGTGTATGTGTTTGCCATTTCGTTTGTTCTCCGAATTATGTTCAATTGACAAGCCAACAGCTTGACCTACTTCTAATTTTACTTCTTACATTATGTATTTATGAAGTTGGCAAACCCAGTGAATGAGCTTTTCCACTTCTTTCAAGCATGAGCGAATTGACTTAATTTGACTTGTGACATATGCCCTGTGCCTTTTTTTTAGTTTGTTTGGGCAAATTCGGTGATATCGACAATTGACAAAATCCGAACGGCAAACAAAACACATACACACACACATACACATTCTCGCTCGAGTCTCGAATAAGGCACAGATAAATCGTGTTGAATTATTTATTGTATTTTGCTTTTGGAGCAAAATGTCAGCTTCAGTTTTCCCAAAACAAGAAGAAAGAAAAAACAACAAAAATATTACGAACATAGACGAAACGAAAATGGAATGGAATGGATCTTAAGATGTATCTTCATTTTCGATAATCACATTTCTGTGCTATGCTTTCGAATATTTTTAAGGCACAAGATTTTCGAGCCATGGGATTTCAACAATCTCTTTCTCTCTTTTCTCGTTTGTTCGGAGTGAAAAATGATTTTATAATTGTTCGAGTCACAGAGATGGAAAACCAAAGAAAGAAAATGCTCGAAGGAAACCTTTTTTCGCTTGATTTTTGTGCTCGTTTGACTGGAAAGATCTCAATTATTGATATTATTCTTCTTTTGACAATGCAGAAAATGGATGGCAAAGCTGCGTATAGTTCGGCAGCCTTTTCTCCGTCTTCAGATAAGAATGATCCTAAATGAGATGTATAATTAATGCGGAATTTTCCTTTCCTTTCCATCCATAATAACAATGAGTAGAATGACATGAACAACGACGAATCGAAATTCGGAACGAGATGCGTTTGGCATTTGAGCGTCTGGAGACTGGACCTGAACAATCCACATTATCTTGAAAAAAGTCATCATCAGTCGAAATGGTGTATTTTTTTTTTACTTATTCTTCAAGCGGATTTTTTGTCTGCAATAGGTAATTTCGTGATCATTTTTAATCAAAATGTGCCCATGATAGATTTGGTCCAGTGCGACGCCATTTGTATTTTGGGCTAAAAATAAATGCGATATACTTCTGGAACGAGCAAACGACGATGCATGAAATCTCGGCGCATTGTGTGCTGTTGTCTGCATATGCCAATTCATATTTGGGTGAATAACGTTTTTAATTAACGGAATAGCCAAAGTGAGTGAAAAGATAATGAATATTTAATTTTGTGTTTCAGCCATTCGGAACGTGTCACTGTCAAAAAGTACTGAATAAACAAAAGCCGGTTTCTCGTGCACGATCTTTGATTCGGGGTTTCGTTTGTGTCAGAGGATTCATTTGAAATGCCGCAGTCTCGCAACATGCACACGAACTAGGAAAACATTTAAAATTAAAACCATGTCTACTTTCTCTCTCTTTTGCTGGATTGGAATATCGTTTTTCTTTCGCAAGTAGAGCGACAGAGAGAACAAGGTCTCGCGATAGAGCACAAGGCACAGCACAAAAAACGCATAGACTTCAGAGCCGGCAGCAATAGTAATGCCACAGCAGACAATGAGAGATGTCACACATAATCAACTCTATACATGGAGGAAGTTCGTATATCGGCTTAACTCTCAGTATCAATGTAAAAATTTCATAGGAATATCTCTTAATATTTTATATCACATATATCCAATTTGATGGCGTGTGTGTGTGTGTGTATGGGCACTTGTATGTGTGTGAAAATGTTTTCGTTCCTTCTTTTCGTGCATGTTCTTTGCTTCGGTTCAGTTTACAATATTTTTTCTTCGGTCTTTATTTCGGTTTTTGTCTGCATCGAAATTTCCATCCATCAAGAGAAACTAAACGTGAGCAAAATTCATTGTTTGCGACGCTACCTCCCCCTCAATTTTGGCGAACTTGAACATTATGTCCTTGCCATATCTCTTCGTCGTCGTCGCTGTGCTTTCTCTATCTCGTGAACTTTTCATGTATTTTGAGGCACTCACATTATTTGTGAGTGTGTCTCTCTCTCTCTCTCTCTCTCTGTGCCAAGAATAGTTCAGTAAAGTCGTGTTTTCCTTAGCTTCGAGCAAAATCACCCACCACATGCAATCAACTATCACCGAGCCACCACCATTCACGTACATATTTCGTGAAAGTTGAAGTTAGTTTTCTATCGGTTTGTGGCAGTTCGTTTGCCAGCTAGCTACTTTTTTCCCTCTCTCTCTCTCTCTCTCCCCCTCTCTATCCATTGCCGTTTTTATTGTTTCTTTGTATTTCGTTTTCTATTTTTCGTCATCATTTCACGCTTTATAGATTGCCGAAGAGCATTGCCATTATTACTACGTATTATGAAACGTAGGAACATCACGTGTATGTATGTGCGTAACGTAAGTTGTAACACTACAGCACCTGGTTCCACGTACACGTATAAAAATGCCACTTAAGATAAATGGTGCACACATTCCTTGAAATGTGTGTGGACCTCTGTCTAGATTGGCTTCACATCTTTCTTTGCCGCTTGATCTGCTTATTTTTTTTCCTACTGCATCCGGTCGTGTGTGTGTGTGTTTTTTTTTCACATTCATTTCGCAATTTCGTTCCCTCTATTTGGAGCTTTGTATCTTTTTAATAATGTTCTTATAAAAGAATTCAGACTTAAAGGGATTTAAACGATACGGAATGGTTCGATTGTCATGTGTTCAAGTGGCTGTCATATTATGCTATTTCATGTACGAAATGAATTGGTTTATCCAATGATTTATTTAGTTCGTTATTACGGTGCCAGCAATAATTTCCTCCGTTATCATTGATTCTTACATTAAATAAATGATGCCAAAGTACGTGACGTTGGATTACATCTTGCGTTTGCAATGATTGCTAATTTCCATGCGGTTTCCAATGTAATATATTGGATTTCGAGGTTTTGCTTTGGCAACTATTGACGTTTGAATGGAATCAAAAAGCATTTCAATCAAGATAAAATATTCTGTCACTCAATTTGTCGCTTCATCATGAACAAAGTCTTTTCATATTATCCGCACTAAATCTATTAAATATGAAGCGAACTAAAAGTGGGATGCTAACGTCATGAATGGCAAACAGTTGTTTGAAAACTTGTTTCGAACCCTTTTCCATTCGGACTCGGCATTGACACGAACAGTAAATAAAGCAACATTGTGCTAAATGTCATGCAATCGGCGAAATGCAAGCTAAATGTAATGTTCATGAAAATCTAGCGATTTTTAATGAAGCATAAACCGAACGAACGGATGGACGAATGAACGACGCAGATTTTCATGTGCATTTTAATGATCTTATGAATTATTCGAATCGCAATAAATTTTCATACAGAAATAATGCGATCATCCATAATTTATGCTTTGTACATGTTGATTAAATCGAAAACCCGTTTCCTTCTCGTCGCTCATTCATTTTTGTTTTTCCACAAATATTTAACTTGTACATGACACGCATCCTTTACGCCATTAGCTTTGGCTTGTGAACTCATTTTCACGAATTGTGCTGTCACACCGCTTTTGATCCTTATGCTCAGCGTTGGTTGGCGGGCGCAAAAAGTCCGTATGAAATAGGTAACGACACCGTCACCTAATAATAAGCATTAAATAGCAACCCGTGCGACTGTTTTCGCATGTATTATTTATATATTTTTGCAGAAAAGCGCCACAGCAGTATAGAACAGTGCAGAGTGCCGAAGAAATGTGCATTGTGACCAGAATATTGTATTATTTCGAATTGGAGTGTTCAGACAATGTTCAATGTGGCAATGGCATAATGTTATGTTGTGTTGTGTCTGCAGTGGCGCAAATTGCATGCAAAACAATGACAACACGCATACATGCAACGGAACAGGACGAGAAAAAAAAAATTCACGCATCACATTACTTTCTCTCATCGCAAAAGCAAACACCCAGGAAATTTGCTACATTAACGAGTGTGAATAAACAAACACATACAGCATAATGTGAACATGGCCAACAGAATACACATATCGTCTACACCCTCGCCCCCCGTCCCTATAGTTGCAC